TACTGGAAGGAAAAGTACAGGACAAAAGATCAACAGGAAGACGCCAGAACTCATGGCTGAAAGACCTACGGAAATGGTTCGACCGAAAATATGAATTACTTCAAGTTATACTGGAAGGAAAAGTAGAGGACAAAATATCCACAGGAAGACGCCAGAACTCATGGCTGAAAGACCTCAGGAGATGGTTCGACCGATCATCCACGGAAATCTTTCGCGCAGAAGTTTCCAAAACCACAATTGCCATTTGGATCGCCAACCTTCGAAAGGAGACGGCGCCATGAGAAGAAGATTTTTCCTGTATCTATATTCGAAAGAACTATTCAAGCACGAAAACAAAATTGAAAATCGTTTCTAAGAAAAATAATTTCCATGAAATTAGTTTATTTTATTATTTTTCTTGAAATAGGTAATTTATGTAGGCGCACTCATATTGTTGTTATCATCTCCATAATTAATGGTACAGCATACTCGAAGACGGCTTTTGTTTGGCCTTCATTGCAATTCCTGACATTCTTAATTTCACGAATTTCTTGACTCCTATCGTCGCCCCCCACTCGACGAACGAGTTAGGAGTTAGCAACATTCAACCATTTAGTTTTAGTTCTTTTTATCAATGATGTTGACAATGAGATCCGCGGGTTCTTATCTACATAATAATATGAATATTAGGCCAGTCGTAATTCAAGATTCAAGATTTATTTGACTACGTTCACAAATTTTACGTTTGTTACTATATTATGGATAAAAATATGACTGCGTTTGAATTGCAATATTTGTATTTCTGTACAAACTTTTCTTAAAAATCAATTAATTAAATTAAAATTAGATTAAAAACAAGCCAAAGAGGCGGCATAAAAAGGAAATCTAAAGTTCTGACAACGATAGCGAGCAGGAATTTCAACCAGCTGATGAAGATATGGATTTGGAAGATATTTACGGATGTAAATTGTATTTTCTGTGGCGGAAAATTTTGTAAGGATTATCGAGGTGAAAAATGAAATCAGTGCCTTATGTGCGCAACTTGTGGGCACACATAGATTGTTCTGGTGCAGGAAGAGACGAATATGTGACGAATATGAGACGAAAAATTATAAAATAAAAATAAAAATATTTTTACTAGTAGTCTATATTTATGTCACCTTTCCGTTTCTTACTTAAATGGCACTGTGAGTGTTTTTATGACATTACAGAAAAATATATCTTACTAGACTGAAAAACGGACTAGGACGAAAGAGCAAAACAATTCTACATGCCAATTACGTAATTTGAACTTTTTTGATAAAAAAATAGTCAAAATATCAGCAATAAACAAAATGGTAGCCCATATTTGTACCTTCTCCTCTAAATAATAGTATATTACTTTATGAGGCGGAGAAGCATGACTTTCCTTGACGCGCCCGATATTACGCGCCGAACAAAGTGAGGCGCATAATAGAGGGCAAGTCAAGAAAAGTCGCTTCTTTGCCGAATAAAGAATACTATTTTTTCTTTAAACGTAGCAATTTTCAACCATAAATAGTACAATTCATACGCTATTTTTACTCGAAATTAACTGTGACAACTATAAAAGTCGTCTAGATGTTAGAAATTCAAATAATTAAGTCGTCGGTGGGATTTGTGTCTCCCTGGTTACAGTTGTTTGACAGTTGTTTGCAATTATTAAAGAGAGCTTATTATTGTTGCAACCGCAAGCGCAAATTTAGTGCGAAAATGTAATAATAAAAATAATAAAAATACGAAATAATAAAAATGAAGACTGTGGACATTGAGGATAAAGAAAATGTAATAATTATCAAAATCCCAGACGGTAAAAAACGACAAATTAGATCTTTTACGATGATTCGTCAAAACTACATTAAACTGTATAAAAAGTATGCATCACTGCGGCCTGAAAATTTCACAGAAAACCGATTTTTTATCAAGTACCAAAATGGAAAGTGGTACCAAAGCGTCATGGGAATACATTCGATCAGCGCAGTAGCCCAAAAAGTAGCTAGTTATTTAAATTTAAACGATGCAAGCGCATACACGGGTCACTCTTTACGACGAACTTCAGCAACACTTTTAATTGATGGAGGCGGAAATCTAGAATGCCTCAAACGACATGGGGGCTGAAAATCAAGCACGGTTGCCGAAGGATATATAGAGGATTCAATAAGAACGATAATGCTCAAAAAATTTTAAACCCTCATGATTCGCCAACATCGGGAATGATTGTTGAAAGTTGTTCTCGACCATCAGTATCATTAACAATTGCCAATGCGTATCAAGAGTCGGGAACATTTTTGCACGGTTTCAATTTTGAAAATGCCTCATTAACTAATTGTACTTTTACTATTACTATAAACAAAAATGATGTTTAATTGTTGTTAATGACATTTGTATTGTTGCTTTGTGACATGTTTCATATTGTTGCCATGACAACATTTTTCCCTGGCGCCGTAAAGAAATGGGAAAAAACTGCTGCCGGCGGAGACATCAAACTTTGACAGGATCAAGTTAGATAAGTAATGTCATCATTTTTTGACGTTTGAAGAAAAAATTACTTTATTGCATTTGAAGTTTCGCACTAGTGTTGGGGAGACTGGTGTCGGTTGTAACAAATGTCACAAATTGATTTTTTTTTTCACTAAATTGAGCTTTGTTAAATTTTTAATTTATTCTAACCTATACTAGGAACTCTATTACACAGTATTTTTGGCTCAAATGCTGCTTAAGTATTACAGAAATGAAATTATGACCCTTTGTGCCAGGTTACCTCATGTGTTACAATTGACACCTTATTGGTGTCAATAGTAACAGAGTTGGTGTTGTATGTAATATATATTAACCTATAGTATAGAGTAAAAATAAATTAAATAGGAAGTAGTAAAAAATATATTTCATATTACAATGACAGAAAATAATAGATATGTGTAAGCATTAGAAATAAAAACAATAACAAATTCTGGTAACATATTTTTACAGAGAAAAAACTAATCACTGTCACATTCACAATGAAAACTTCCTCATCGGAAGACTTAGAAGAATCTTTTCCAGAATCTTTCTCAGAAGAAGTTCAAGCTGAACTTTACGTTTGACGGTGTCCCTTTTTCGAATTGTCTTCTTCAATCAACATCTTCTCTGGTGTATCAGTCAGAATAGCTATCTTTCGTCTCATTCTTCCTCCTTTTTTGGGTTTGGTTAGATGTGCTTTCGGCAATGGCTTAATATCTTGAGGCAAAATAAATACTGCTGGATTTTTAGGCTTGACTAATGGAGTAGTGTGTATTTTTGATGACAAGATAGTGGATGGATCCGGTTGATTTTCCAAGTTACTGTTGTGTTGAACTGTAGGTGATTTTGGTTGATTATTTTCTATGTTTTCTTCATATAGAGGTCTACAGTTAATGCATTAAAATCACTATCGTTGAAAATCTCTCGATTGAAAGGACAAATACCAGTGCAGGAGAAACCAGCAAGAATATTGACAGGCGTAGTGGCCAAAGAAAGTGATGTTCTTACAATTGAAGGCAAATCGTATATAGTCATTATTTTTCGAGGATGATTTTTCATCCACTGATCACCAGCATTATTAAAATATTTCTTAAACGGACCATATACCCCACGATCTAAAGGTTGAAGCCTATGTGAAGTGTGCGGCGGAAACGAAAGTAGAGTAATGAAATTAGCTCTGCAAAATTCTATCAGATATATCGAAATATGAGATGAGTGGTTGTCTAACAATACAAGCACTCTATTGGCTTCACTTGACTTTACGTGTTTAACAATATGTTTCATAAAAATAAGAAATTCATTATCTTGCATCCATCCAGACTTATTTCCAGTTCCTATATACGCAACTGGTCCATTTCTAATAAAGTGATCTTGAAAACATAATCGTGGAAAGACGAACATTGGGGGTACGGTATTTCACACTACATAAATGCTATATATAGTGTTACTAGAGTTTTACGTTCCTGGGATGATATGGATCCTACATGCTTAGTTCCTTTTCTAGCTATAACTTTGGATGGTTTCTGAACGGTCGAAACGCCCATCTCGTCATATAATGTAAGGCTCAAAATTATATCTATCTAAAACAGTTGACAGTTCACTTGCATGTTCAGTCGTGTTCCATTTTTCTGTGTAGGACAGTCTGTTACACTTTGCAAATTGAAAAGCTAACTTGCGTAAATCTTTTGTGGTAAGTCCGAAATACAAATCTACAGTAGTTTCGCAGTATTTAGCAAGCTGTAACTCGATTTCATCATTAAATACTCTGTTGTGAGCATTGTATCCAACCCGATATTATGAGTTTTCACGTAACGATTTAACATAGCGATATAAAGAAACGTGACACATACCATAATTTTTAGCCACTTTTCTAATAGATTGGTTAGTATCTATTACCTGCCTAGCTGCTTCGTCATAAGCAACTAAAATGTACTTTTATGATGAAATACAAACATGTGCCTAGAACTTGTGCAATAGGTTACGGCTAACTCTGAAACTAAAGTCGGTGTGAGGTAGATATCTGTCTACGCATATTAGTGCGTTTTGATTTATTTCAAAAGATAGCGAAAATATCACTATTGTTACAAACGACACCTGTTACAATTGACACCAGTCTCTTCTACTCTACGTGTTCTATGGCCGTAAATTGAAGAAAAATGGCATAACATGACAGATTTGATACATTTGTATAGGTATAGGTTTTGTCGAAAAATAAAAGGTAATAAAAGTAATAAAAGGAGCAATGTTTAATTCACAATACTACACATAAAAGTTCTTCCATATATTGCTGAAGCGAAAAGGCATAAGAAATCACGCGAAGAATAATTTTCCAATTTATTCTACCAGTTTTCACTAATTTTTAACCCATTATTTCCGTTTTTTTGATACGTTTTTGTCGTCGTACACACATGACATGATATATTGTATCACAATTAATTCAACACCAGGCCTAAAATCCCCACTATCAGCCGCGACAGAAATACGTCGAATATAGAAATACTTTTAATCCATAAGTAGACTTACATTAAGCACCGTACACTTTAAATAATATTCGCGATAAAGAGTAGCGATTGTTTCTACAGATAAAACAACATGTTGTCTAAAAAAATGAATTCAAAGTAGTGTGTGCTTCAACTTTGGATAGCTATGAGAGTTCTCCATGTCCCATCGGTTCTCCTATCCATCGTTAATGGGCCCCAATTTGGACGCTAAACCTAGCGAGCTCCCTAATTCAGATGTAGCGCTCAGCGAGTACGACGATGGGTACAATAACGCGGGTCTGGAAGTCTGCAACGAGTTCGCCGAAGTTGCTAATCGGGAGTTAATTAATCGGGAGTTGGTCAATTTAGAGAATGCCGTGGTTAACATTGACAATTCTAACGATGTGATTATTGGGCCTGTGACTCAGTTTAATGTTAATGGAAATGTTACTATATATCAAAATAAGGATGGACAACCTGTGGAAATCGAGGAAAAACCGGACATATCTACACCAGCGTACACGGGTGAGTTTTGTAAATTATTTTACCAATCTTTTGCATTGTGCGTTGTAAACTGCGAAGTAATTTATTTGTAGAACTTTTATCAAGATAAGTATCTTCTAAGAACTATACTTGAAAGTTTTAAAAGTCATGAATGATTAGGAATTTTAATTTTATCGATACAAAGTCGTCCTTATCTGTCGTCTCTATCACATACTCACATTTGAAATGATCCAAAGTTACCAAGAAAATTAGTGCATTTGTTTGCGGAGCCTTATTTCTTAATTCCCTACGGTATAATTTGATTGTTATGCAGTTCGCCCATTGTTATTGTTCTGCGTTAAATATCCTTTTTCCTGTTTTCCTTTTTTTCTTCTTCTTCTTCTTCTTCATGTGACTACGATTACTTCTGTTTGTCTGCCTCTTATTCTGTTTCAGTCGTTGTTGATTGTACATTATCTTTACACCTTTTTGGCGGCCTTTCAGCGGGTCTTCTGCTATACGATTTGTTGTTTTTACAGATGTTCGTTAATCTATCTGGTCCCATTCGGTTTACATGTTCGTTCCAGTTTTTTTTTCTTGTTTTTATCCACCTGTTAATATTTTGAATTTTGCATTGTTTGCGCTGTTGGTTTGTCTGCATCTTAATGATATGCCGCTATTGATCTTAATACTTTTATCTCGATATTGTTGATTTGTTGTTTCGTCTTTCTTGTATCGGTCCTTGTCTCCGCTGCATATGTTAGGATTGATCTTACTGTTGTCTTGTATACTTTCATTTTGCTTTCCGTGATCAGATATTTGTTTCTCCATATGGTTTCTCGGAGGCAACCACTTACCCTTGCCAATTTTGATGCTTGCCTTGTGGTCTCTGTTCTTATATCCCTGTCACTAGTGATCTCTACTCCTAGGTAATTGAATTTCATTACTTGTTCTACAATTTTGCCGTCTATTTCTAGTCTGCATCTACGCGATTCTTTACTGATCACTATACATTTAATTTTTTCTACTGGTATTTTTATATTAAGTTTGTTTGCTGTGATATTAAAGGTATGGAGCTGCCTTTGCAGGTCATCTTCGTTATCGGTAATTAGTACTGCATCATCGGCATAGCGTATCTTGATTTTATGCGCTCCCATGTGGTATCCGTGTCGTTTTCTTAGTTCGTGAATTATTTGATTCATTACCATATTGAATAACAATGGGCTGAGCAAGTCTCCTTGGCGGATTCCTCCTTTTAGTTCTATGCATTCTGTTTCTCCTGTTGGTATTTTAACTCTGGTCTCGTTGTTCTTGTTAATTTCGTTAATTGTCCTTATTATCTGATGGTCTATTCAGCTTGTAATAAATTTAAGATGTCATTTCGCTTCACTCTGTCAAAAACACTTAAATTTAAACAGTACATGTATGCTGGTTTTCCATATTCTATAGACTTCTCTATTATTTGTCTAATAATAAAAATTGCGTCTATTGTGCTGCGCTTCTTCCAGAAGCCTTGTTGTTCATCTGCCATGGTCGCATTTTCCTCGATTTTATCTTTTATGACTACCATTAACAATTATATATATACATATATATATATATATATATATATATATATATATATATATATATATATATATATATATATATATATATATATATATATAAGGATCACTCAGACGAATGGTGGGTTCTTATATCGGTCTCTAGGTGGAGAAATAAAAGACAAAGTTGATAGGCTACTTTATCTATTTTGAAGACGTTTCGCTTTCGAGTTTTAAAAGCATCATCAGTTCATCTAAAAAAGTACAATATGAGAACCACACAATCATGGAAACGATGTTAATTGTTACCTTAAAAAGACATGTAGCAGTCAATGTTATTAACAATAATGTGAATGAAACTAAGTAAATGGACATAATACGCTGATTTTGTATAAACAATTAAGTAACTAACAACATATATGAACTTATAAAATTAGCACAGCAAATGACCATGTGGTCTAAAGTAAATTAAATGTTATTTAATGTTAATTAGTGAGCAAGAACCAAGAAAATCATAGATAACTTCCAACTATTTAAGATGGCTTCGTACTACTTCTGGACGTGCAGTAGTTCTTGTTTCACCTATATCTATCAAAAACGATCTATTACGATTTATTATCGATAGAACGATAGAACGATTTATTATCGATAATACCCTCAATGTAGAAGCTATGAATTCAACTGGAGACGTAATGTTATTAGTTACTATATGGGCGTTGTTTCTGGAGGTAGGAAGTTGTCCCTTGGTGTTCTAGTTTTCCGACTATTATATTGTTTCCTTGCATTACGAGGACTTTGACCTACGTCCACAGTTCCAGCATCTCTTCAGCATCGTGTTACGAACTACTTTCCGTGCCGTTTCCTCCAGACGTTCATCGTTTTGTTACTCGCCTTCTCCAATGGTTCGTACTCGATGGCTCCGGACAGTTTGACTGGTGTTTAAAGGCAATATTCCAAGGCAATATTGAGAGCTTTATCTAAAACTTTCGATCTTGCTAGTCGTAAAGCTTTTTGTAGTTCACTGTTTCAAGCCATTGACGAAGGTATCTACAGCAAGTTCTTCCACAATGTTGTCTGGTGCCTCTGGATAAGCCAACCGAACTATACGAGCAACATCTGCTTTAAATTCTTGAATATTTTCCTTGCTCGTTGAAGTATACTTATTAGTTGTTATACTTTGTAGACTTGTTTTATATGGGCATATCCCCATAGCGTTTTTCTTGTTGAATGAACAATTTCTGGCAGCATTTTTCTTAGCAAGTGGTAGCAAGTATCTAGATGTGACACTTAACAGGACATTTAAATGTTGCTTAGGCAGATACATCCTTTCCTCACCATTAAAATCTAATTGTGTGGAAATGGCCAACCACTCAACCCAAGACAATTAACTTCCTCTGGCTGTTTCGATTAGTGTTTCTACTTATCGAGAGCTGTTCCCACACGTGTCAACTTATTATCACCTACCTTAAGAACAGGTGAATTTAAATTTGTATTATAATTTAGGTAAATAAAAATAAAAGATTAGTTTGAACAATTGAGAGCGAACAAAAGAAATTTTGCCTCGCAATCTAACAAAAGATTCCATAAATTATGATTTTATCGCGTTGACTCCGAATATTATTTTTGATTATTTGATAGCATTTATCTTTCTCGGCAAAAATAATACGAACTAACGAAGCTTGTTGACTTCATCACTTAAAACTATATTTGTGGTCGCTAAATATGTAAAATGTGAAAATATAAAACACGCTGCGGATAATTTCCACTGAACTGCTATTAAATTCCGAGAAAAATAAAATACCGTTTGTTTTATGTTCACATTATTATGAGTTTTCACCATAGACGTAGCCGAAGATTGTCTCTAAATATCCAATAGAATTTTGACTAGCTTATTAGAATTAGCTTAAGAAAGTCATACCGAAATGCTTTGTTTTAGCAGGTTTTCCTTCACAAACGAGGATTATACATCATCCTTTCTTACTCTTATTCAGCTTTTTTCTTTTCAAGGATCGCTGTTCTTTACTCGTATTCGCAACATATTTCTATTTTTGTTTCTTCTTTTCAGTCTTAAACTTTTCATCTTAAAACATATTATCCTCGGCTTTACCCTATCTCTCTTTTCCTCAAGACGATCATACATCATCCCTTACCATTACTAGATTCAGTTTGTTGCGTTATGTTCCTCTCCTATCTTCTTCTCTTCTTCTTAAGTGCCTTATCCGGTCCGGATGTTGACGATCATCAAAGCTATCATGGTTTTGTTGACTGCTCTACGAAACAATTCAGCGAAGCCATCCCAAACCATTGTCGGAGGTTTTTTAACGACGAGATACGACGGCGTCCCGGTCCTCTTCTGCCAAATCCTTTACCCTGCATAACGAGTTGAAGAATTCGATATTTTTCTTCGTTTCGCATCACGTGGCCAAGGTACTCAAGCTTACGTTGTTTCCCTAAATTAAGCACTTCATTTTGTTTTGTCATGCGTTGTAGAATCTCAAGTTAGTATCCTTCTGTAGATCCACATCTCGAAAGCTTCAATCCTCTTTTCAGTAGTTTGCATCAGTGTGCAGGCTTCAACTCCATATAGTTACACAGGAAGAATGCACCTCACTATCCGCATCTTGGTTCCCAAACTGAGATCACTGCAGCACATCAAGGATCTCAACTCGATAAATGTAGACCGTGCCATTTCAATTCTGGATCTAATCTCTTGAGCGTATCCCATCTCCCATTGTGAGTTGAGGGTAGTTCCGAGGTAAGTGAATCTGTCGACTCTCTAGATCTCTTCGCTACCTGCCATTAGTGCCCCAGGATCTAAATTTGCACGGCTGGCAACCATGAATTTAGTTTTCTTAATATTAAGTGTAGTCCGTATGTTACGCTCACAGTTCTTACTCAGTCTAGTACGGCTTGTAGATCATTTAGGCTTGTTGCTAGTAACATATGTCATCGGCGTTACGGATATTAGTGATGTATTCACCGTTCACTCGGATTCCCATCTCTAGGTTTGTGAGGGCTTCAGTAAACATTTCCTCAGAGTATCTTCAATCTTCACCTGGTCGGACAGCTGGTCTTTGACCTTGACTTGATCAAATTGGTTCCATTATAAATTCATGATGATGCGAATATCCTTCTCGTCCATATCTCCATATTCTCATCATATCAGAGATTGGATATTATCAAGGCAAGTCTAATCTGATTTACAATTATGTAGCCAAACCACTTTGTTAAGCACTATTAATCTTTTGTGGTTAGGATTCCGTCGACATTCGATATTTTAAAATTTTTATTCATAGAAGAAGACTCATATAATTATTATTGAACACTTTTTTTTTATTTTTATGACAATGGATCTTGCAGTTTTAATACGTCCTCAAATTTCAACGTTTTGGTTACTTGTTTCATTTGTTAGAGCTACAAGGTATTTGAAATTATTCGCTTTTTTGGATGGACTTTGTTAAATAGACCCTATTAAAATGGTACCGACCTGGAATCACC